ATTACTTTGTGATATTTGTACTATCTGGAAGACAACTATACATGTAAATCTGTGCTGGTCTTTCAGACTTCGCTTCAAGCACAACTAGGGATGCAGTTCAACCTCGACATGTTAAAAGAAACTCTACGTGCTCTACCGGCAAAGATTCTCTATCGATATAGTCTACAAAGTAATTAAAGCTCTTTCCATCGTAAGCAGTCGAGTGACTCCAGCATAAACAAGGTGAAAACGATTAAAGCTTTTTTCTCACTAAATCAAGAGCCCCTACAATAGGACATGTATTAAAGTACATGTGATATTATATCTACTATAGGTAACCTTTCAACGAGTGGACCCGTCACACACTCCATAACTTGTTCCTACAAGACAGTATCATGAGCTGCTACATAAAGCCTAAGATTCACATATTTTCAAAGATTATTACCTTCGTATGAAGGTGTTTAGTGCCCCAGAAAAGGGTATCAGGAAAAGATGTCATCAAAATTCTATAAACCACTTGGACAAAAAACATGCCAAAAAAATGTGCAAAAACACAAATCGTACAATTTACGTATGCGCGTAGGCCAAGAACAATAATGTACATATAGCGTTTATTTGGCGAGAATTTCTATCTGCTCGAAAAACAATTAAGATTTCTTCAAAGTAGTAAATTTAATACTTTAAGGTAAGGTTTTTCCCAAACGAGATTATCTCCCTTTTCTTCTTGATGTGATTTGTTTTGTAAAGCAGGCCGTGCCAGACTCGTCATTCGGCGCACAACTCTGTACACTCCGAGACGGGAAGAGATAATAAATAGCCTTAAAGTGAGGAGTACACTCATGGTCCGATGGAAACAGGGAGTCAGCGAGGTCAAAGCACACGTATCCGTTGGAATCAACATGAATAACCTTTGACCAAAGGTCGTTTTTTGGTTTTTTTTGACGATGCCTCGGAATCTGAAGAGGATGCGTTTTAGTTTGGGATTTGTCCACACTTCACGAGAGTTTCTTCGTCCACAACCTGATGCGATACGGGTGCGATAGCAGTTGCCCTCAGAAAGTAACTATGGAAGGGCGCAGAAAGTTTGAGGTAGGGGAGGCGGGTGGGGTGTTATTTCACTTTGACAATAAGGAAAGAAGAAGAAGAAGAAGGAGAAGAAGAAAAAGAAGAAGAAGAAGAAGAAGAAGAAGAAGAAGAAGAAGAAGAAGAAGAAGAAGAAGAAGAAGAAGAAGAAGAAGAAGAAGAAGAAGAAGAAGAAGAAGAAGAAGAAGAAGAAGAAGAAGAAGAAGGAGAAGAAGGAGAAGGAGAAGGAGAAGGAAAAGGAGAAGGAGAAGAAGAAGAAGAAGAAGAAGAAGAAGAAGAAGAAGAAGAAGAAGAAGAAGAAGAAGAAGAAGAAGAAGAAGAAGAAGAAGAAGAAGAAGAAGAACAACAACAACAACAACAACAACAACAACAACAACAACAACAACAACAACAACAACAACAACAACAACAACAACAACAACAACAATATCAACAACCACACTACTGATAATATGATAATGATGAGAACACAAAAGTAGATCTAACGGTAATAGACCTTGATCTGGTGGTAATAGCGACATGAGTATAATTATTCTCCCTGTTACTATTTTTCATATTACTTTTTTTTGTTACCCCTAAGTATTGAAGTATCCTAGCATTTATTTACTCACATTCTCATAATCAATAACCAAGTAAATCATTAACATCGCACCTGAAAAAGGGGGCACGAGGCCCCGTTAAGTCCTGCAAGCGATGTTTCTTTACAAACGTGTCATCAGATGATTCAGCCCTTAGCTTTTATTAGTTGATATTGTGCCATTACAGTAATTCTGTTATGGTGATGATACAGACGAATGATAGATAGATAGAACTGCTTCAGGTCAAATTATATTCTTGCTGAATTCTTTGTCTTGCGTGTGCACGACGGGTATTTTCACTGACCGTGCCAACCGGAACATACCCCACTTTCAAATTATGAAACTCTTGCTGGCGGATTTTCCATCAAATTCACTTCGTGGTAATAATAGCACTCATAGTAGGAGAAATGTTCACAAACGTCTCCTTTGTGAATTAATGTCTGCTGCACTATAATTAATACGCTACGCACCTTTTAAAAGGGAAGTCATAAATAGAGCCGGTATTTCCAAAGCAAGTGAATAGAGATATTATTGGACTTGACAGACGCAGACCGAAAAGGCATAAAAAGTATCACAAGAAGAGAAAGAGGGTGCTGTTATTAAACTACATGTATATTGTATTTGAATGATTTATCTTTTTTTCCTTCAGTCACATCATGTTGGAAATTGGGTCCTCAATAGAAATCGTAATGTTCTTACTGATCTAATTCTTTTCCACCGGTGCTATCCACGTGACAGGAAACGGGCGTAATCAATAATGGACACCTGCAAATAACGTACCCACCCGTATAACTGTTTAAAGGAGGAAAATCTAATTAACACAAAGTTATTGAGCCAAGGCTATAGTCTCCTGGTTTCACAAAAAGGTGCTTAACATTGTACTCAGTAAAAGTGGGTGGGCCCACACTTTCATTAGTTGTCCTGAGCTCTTTATCCATTGTCTCTCTGGCACAGTTTTACAAGCAGGCCTCTTATGGTTGTCATATTAAAGGAATAATTATTCTTTTAAGTTAACATAAGTTAATCCTCTTTGTTTCATATTAGTATCCATCCCAAGGCTCAACCCATGAGTATTCCACGAGTAATGTGTTCAAGAATATTATAGTGTTTCATTTGCTCCTTCCGCCATGTGAAACTTGCAGAGACCAAGTCGGTGTCAGTAGTGTTGACGCAGCCCACCTCCTAAACGATAGCAGTTTCTAATCGTTGCGTGAAAAAATTACAACTATTAACCATCACAATAAGCAACTTCCACCTCTCGGAAATTTGTTGTGGACTGAAAGCATAGCCACTGCACCACACAATGAGGCTACAGTATTTTCTATTATTTACGATCACCAAAGTTTGATGGGTTTGGCTGGTTTGAGTATTCGTCAATTTGTTCAGAATTAGCCTGAGAAAATTATCTGAATCCGTTCCTAATCGATACTTGTAAGCACACTGGTGGAAGCATTGCAAGTACAAGTTAACCATCATCTGTCTATCTGTATTTGTCTCCCCTCATTCGATGTTGGTTGCGCTCTCTCTTAGTAGAATTTCTCTTTCTGTCTTTTCCCTTTTCTCTCTTTCTCTATCTCTTTCTCTTTCTCTCTCTTTTTCTTTCTCTTCCGCTCTCTTTCTCTTTCTCTTTCTCTCTCTTTCTCTATCTCTTTCTCTTTCTTTCTCTTTCTCTTTCTCTTTCTCTCTCTCTCTCTCTCTCTCTCTCTCTCTCTCTCTCTCTCTCTCTCTCTCACTCTCTCCATCTCTATTTCCCTCAATTTCTTTCTCTCTCTCTGGCTCTCAGTCTGTGTATACACTCGTCCCTGTCTTTCTCTCTCTCTTTCTCTCTCTTTCTCTCTCTTTCTCTCTCTCTCTCTTTCTCCCTTTATCTTTCTCTTCTCTTTCCCTCTCCCTCTCCCTCTCCCCTCTCTCTCTCTCTCTTTCTCTCTATCTCCCTCCCTCCCTCCCTCCCACTCTTTTTCTCTCTCAATTTGCGTTCGAGTGCGTGCGCGTGTGTCTACCTGTGCATTGGCATGTGCATGTGTTTGTGTGTGTTTGTGTGTGTGTGTGTGTGTGTGTGTGTGTGTGTGTGTGTGTGTGTGTGTGTCGTGTGTGCGTGTGTGTGTGTGTATGTGTGTGTGTGTATGTGTGTGTCCGTGTGTGCATGTGTGTCTGTGTGTGTCCATAGCAATGTAACTACACGTACGTTAATGAATGTAGGCCTTACGCGTTTCTTTTTCTTTTCTACGTATAGATATCACACTTCCGGGGTGTCTAAAAAACCTGTATTTGCGTTGACAAAAGGAACTCAGTTGACTCAATTGAAAGACGTTTGTCGCCCCAATGCAGACGGCACAGATAGGTCCTAACCTCTGAACTAGAACCTCTGCACTTATTTTGGTTGTGGGCCGCCATATCGGAGACAGGCACGACACACATTTTAAAAAAGAGAGGTAACTAATAGTTTCTTATCGGGTATCATAAAAAGAGTAGAAAGTGTATGTAATCAAGTGCACCAACACGGATGAATGGATGGACGGGTGGATGGATGGAAGAACAGAGTTATCAATAAAATGTTTGAGTATGTGTGCGACGATGTAGTCAAGGGCTTGATGGTCTTTAAAAGATATATGTACAGAGAGAATGAGGGAAGGACCAGTGTCTGTGGACTATAAAGGCATGCCACTGTCCAGGTCGCACCTCCCCCTCCTATAGATCCCTCAGTCTCTGGGGATTCCGCTATTCATGTTTTGATTTTTTCTGGGCCATGTATCTTATGGTTGTCTTCTTTTGAAGACGTGATTTTATGTTTCTGCTTGAGCTGTCCTTAACACACATAGAGATGGACAGATGCAAGCATCAGCTCTTTCACCCGCTACATGGCATAGAAATGGCGGTCCTGGTATACCGCAGGATTGTGACAAATTCTATTTTCCGTCCGAGTGATGAGGGGAAACTTGCCCGCCCTCGGGTCTGCACGAATTAAAGATTTGACAGCGTCCTAGCTGCGAGCACATGCAGTAAAGTGGAAAGGGAAAGACGGGAGGGAGGCGAGAGATTCATTCAACAATCCATCTCTTTTTCCACCCAGGCACTCCGTACTGTTTCGCATCAGTAGTAACATTATCGTCCTCAAACCTCAACACAAATCTCTCTCTCTCTCTCTCTCTCTCTCTCTCTCTCTCTCTCTCTCTCTCTCTCTCTCTTTCTCCGCTGTCTCCCGCTAGCCGAGAGCCGCACGCACCAATAGAAGCCCATAAACTCGACGGGCGGAATGACAGGAAATCCCTGCCCACAACCAATGAAACGGCGAGGAATCCTCCTCCGTTCAGCCCTCTCGGTGCAGGAGAGCGTGGATCAATGATGGCAGCTAGGATTAATGGCCCAGCCAGCGGGGTGGGCGTTTAAACTGGGCCTGTTTCCGCTGTGTTGGTTCAGCCCACCGAATGACGAGGGCCTCTCGTGCTCTGTGATTATTTTGTTGGGAAACTTTGAGATTTGTTGATAGTGAAGTTAGAACCTATCAGTGACACCGTGTGATATGGCGCTCATCCACATTATTACTATTGCTCTCATTATTCGCGCGTGCTTTTCTCTATAAAGAAGCGAGGTTCCTACATTTTATGACAGGATTCACTTTGGTGGAGTTTTAAAAACTTGATCTTTGTATAAGTGTTTCTCTCAAAGATGAAACGGTAAAAATAGGATCTAAATTTTTGGCTGTGTTTTCATTGCGGCTTCTGAAGATTACAGTACGAGTCAGGTGTTATCTAAATGATGAATCTGTTTGCAACAATCTAGAGATGCTGCGGAAGGCTGTGTCTTCGTTCGTCATTTGAGGTTGTGACTTCGTAAATGTTCGGATTGCTCGACTTCGAAAGCGATGTGCGAAATTTGAATCGTTGGATGTGAAACTATTTATCAGTGAATTTATGTGTGACATGGTAATAGGTATGTCTTTGTGCACCTTTAATCTTAATTTTAAACTGATAAGTTGGATACTATTTAGCCCTTTGGATTATTAATTGATTTCACTTTCATTTTCTTTATTAATATCTATACTCTTTGTGGAGATGTCTACAGGGAACGTTTTGATCATTCGGCATGTCTAGATCTAGATGAAATATGCTTTCCACTCTTATAATTTTGTCAGAAAATAATAATTCAACTTTGCACAATGAAATATATTCTGCACTTTCTTTTGAACATTTAATTATTTTAAATCAATCTGCTTAAAGACTTCTATTCTAATTGTAAATATCTGATTTCCCACATTTGTTTCTTGGCACTGGCCGAAGACTAAAATCTGCTTTATCTACCTTTATCTCCAGCACGGGCCTAGGACTGGCGTGATTCTGTCACCAGTAGCGTAAGGACTACTCGCCGGACACAACATTATTTTTTTGTCCCTCCTAGACGAGCCTTGAGCTCCCTACGACGGCCTTCACCCTGACGGGCCACTCCAGCAGCTACTTCAAGCAGGACTTTGCTGGCTGGTTCCCGCCACCGCCGCACACCTCCGCCTCCACAGCCTCCTCGCCTGCCTCCTCTTCGGACGTGGCAGACATGCTGGACTACTGCACCAACCTCGGGACCGATCCCGTACAGACGGGCTACGGTGGCGGCCACGCACACCACCACCACCATCAGCATCACCACCCCGCCCACCCCCACAGTCAACAGCACACGTCATCACATCACAGTCCGGGCTCAGGGAGTTCCTCTAGCCCCGGTGACCGTAACTCCGCGCCCGCTCCGTCCTCCGCTGTCCCCCCGGGCATGTCATCCATCTTGAACATGAACCATCAGAACTCAATGGAGACCTCAAGACAACAGAGCGCCTTCGTGCTCAGCTCGCCTCCTCTAGCCGCTCTCCATAACTTGACAGAGATGAAGTTCCCGTCCACCTCGGGATCTCTACTGCCTCAGGACTATTCCCCAGACGCGTTGAAGCAGATGCAGGTAGCCATGTCCCACGCGCTGTCCACCCCTCACGGCATCTCGGACATCCTAAGCCGGCCTCATGCGGCTCTTGGTCTGCCCCGGCTCAACCCAGGCATGTACCTCGGCCACCAGAATCGCTTCCCCAAGCTGGCAGAACTCCCGGGCCGGCCGCCGATCTACTGGCCTGGAGTGCTACCGCAGCCCTGGAGACCACCTGGTGAGTCCGTAGAGCCGGGAACATGAGACTTTTTATCGGGATTTAATGACAACTTACCCGTTTGTCGGCCCATTTCGATGTGTACTTAGCACCAGTTTATTTGTTACACTTCTGTAAAGTGGGAAAATGAGATAATAAATGCTAGGTCTATATTTGCAAAAACACACAGACAAGTGGGCAAACACACATGTACGCAAACTTAATTCAGATAGTTAGAAAGATCTATAGACACACAATCTGAAAGACAGACAGACAGACAAACAGACAGACAGAACAGACAGACAGACAGACAGACAGACAGATTGGCAAACAGAGAGATAGATAGATAGATAGATAGATAGATAGATAGATAGATAGATAGATAGATAGATAGATAGATAGATAGATAGATAGATAGTATTTGTCCTTTCTTTGATTGCTTCTTTAAGGAATGGCTGTCCGTGTCTCTCCTCTGTCTGACTTGTCTAACTTCTCTTTCTATCATTCTCTCAAGCAAGTTGTCCTACAACACTGTGCACTGAATTACCTCCTAGATTATTGTCCTAGTTAAACCATCCCCAAATTCTTTCATAAATTATTCTTTTTGTTCCTGTCCGTCATTGTGCGTGTGTGTGTGTGTATGTGTGTGTGTGTGTGTGTGTGTGTGTGTGTGTGTGTGTGTGTGTGTGTGT